AAATTTTCACTATATTCTTACATACTGCACCTTTAAGCAAGATAAATGCACAAATGCAAGTGTGCCACAGAAAAAGGAAATGATTACATTTGTCAAACTCACTCATTTTCATAGCTGCAAATGTGTCTGCCCTCTTGTGGACCGATGCGAGACAGCTCTAAAAGGAATGCAGTTTAGATTTTTAGTCTTTACTCAACATTTAAAATTGCAATTTTAAACAAAATTTAACAAATGACGATGAAAAAGAAAATTTGATTTGTGTAATATACGGCAGACAAGTCTGGCAGCCTCAGCCATCATCCATTCACAGGTCCGAGTATACTAGTACACCGGCTGAAAATGGAGACGTGGTGTTGATGAATGTGGGGGAGCTGAGAGCACCTCTGTGTCTGCTGTGTCCTCCTACTCAGTGAGCAACATGGAGGCAGAGCGCTTATTCTATTCTGGTCCCTGGAAATGTAAGGTCCTTTTTCTCTGTTCCCTCCAAGATCAGAGTGACTCATCCTCACTTGTGGAGAGTCTGCAGGCAGAAAGGCAAAAAAAGGAAAACACAGACCCTCCACTAGAATGTCAGTGTAGATAATGACTGGTTCCCTCCAAACCACAAGTGCCTGTCACGTTTTATCCGTTTCAGTGCTGGAATAAATATAGCTCTGTATCATTTCTTTCCAAATAATCTCGTCTTATTTTCATGCACAACTGACATAAAAATAACAACAAAAAGAGAATACATGCTTTTGCTCAGAGGGAACCAGTTTGGTTTGTGCAGAATGAAATCCAAAACAACCATTTTTCACTATTAGTTATCAAAGACCATGACAATGACTCACTGAGGAAGCATTTATAAAATAAATAAAATTTAGGGTTAGTTTGAAGCTTTAGGCCACCTCAAGAAGTCAAGAGGCTGTGAAGTCAAGCGAGAGTCAGGTGTTTAAATATATTTGTAGTGGTGTGCATTTGCTTCTTTGTTTCTACTGTGTTCTTCTGAGATACAGGAGCATGTGAAAACATTTGACTACTGTAAAACAGTTCATTTTGTCACTACTTTCAGAACGTTAAACTTATATATATATATATATATATATATATATATATATATATATATATATATTTGTTCTTAGTGGGTTTTAGTTACACATTAACAGAATGAATCCTAGCAGACAAGTAAATAATCCAGAAGACCTGAGAGGACGTAGATCTGCCGCTCCTCACTGAGACGAGAATCCATCTACAATCCATTTGCAGTTAGATTATGGATGTCATGGTGGGAGGCTTTCACCAATTGCATAGAACATTGGCACTCCCCAAGGATGTGTATTAAGTCCTCTGCTATTTTGCTCTGCACATCCATGTTGCAGCTCCACCATATCATGCAGTTTGCAGATGATACAAGTGTCTGTCTGGTGAGGGTGGGGATCAGTAGCTAAGAATAATGAGGTGGAGAACAACCTGGTACTTTCTACCTCGAAGAAACCTTTAGCACCCACCGTCATAAAAGAGGCTAATTTAGGCTACCCAAGCAACAAGGACCTCAAATCCCATAATAATCAAACATTATTTTTATCCCAAGAAAATAGTGGAACATAACTGTGTCCATATTATCTAACAGGAAAGACATTGAAAGACTTTTTGGTCTTGTGTTTATGTCTGTGGGGTTTCTGTGGTAAATGGTAGGAAAACGGTTAAAATGTCGAGCGAAAAGCTTATGGTTAACTAGACTCAACCTCATGATTCTAATTGCTTCTTGAAATCAAATCTGATCACGTGAAGCCATTGAAGGGACTTCAGTCAAACACATGAAATCTCTTTTCATCTCTTCCATACCCTTTAGTTCCCTCCTCTTTTCCATTCCTTTCATTCTTGCTTGAAGTCTTTGAAACATTTTGGCTCAGGTTGTAAATAATACAGCACAGATGTCTCAAAACTCCACAGATGAGGGGTCTGTGTTGCGTACGTCCAAGTGAGGAGAGGCTGCGACAATGCGATCAAAAGAGGAACTGCTTTATCTGTTTCAACATGTAGATCTGGGGTAAAGTTACACAGGAAGTGCCCTATCATCCACCCTTCCTTTCCTCCACGTTCAGAGGCCAACATATCAGTCAGTTCTGGCTGGTAGATTTGCATATGATAAAAAAGATATAATGGCACATGTTGCAGCATTGGGGAATTATTGAAAAGGGAAAATTTTATAGCTTCTTGATTTTACCTTCTGCAGTGAAAACATGAATAGCTTAAAGGAAAACTTACTATCACAGGTCAATATTTGTCACTGTGACTCATTTTTAGAAGCGAGATTTTGAACAAGTTTTATTTGCTTTTCTGTAAGAAACACTTTGTTGTTGCACAAGGTGACAGCTCAGCTAACTCAAGTGTTGCAACTGCAGTGCACTATGGATCAATCCACAAGTCTTGAACAATAAATATGTTTTGCACAAAGGCAACTTGAGTTAAATGTGTGGAACACTGAAATACATTTTTAAATGATTATTTCTGATTAGAATCAATCATTCTGAGTCTCCTAAATCTATCTGCTTGGATTTGGAAAGTCTGACCGCTCCAGGTCAAGCAGCCGCTTGGACTCACCCATCTTGGCTCCTTAGCAGAAGCTAACTGTTAGCATCAGTAACTCAAACACACGGCTGTAGCTCCTTCAAGCTTGTGTTTTTTGGGGAGAACATTCATGCCGCAGAGCAAACTGCATCACTGGTTGAGTCCCGTTGCTGTTATCTAATTCAAGGCAAGATGTCCAAATATCAGGAAAGACTCGTCCGTGCTCCTTGCAAGGCAGAGACAGCTGCAAATTTATTGATTAAACGAGTATTCAACTCCTTTAATGCTAATAGCATGAAATAGCATTTTTGCTAAATATAAAAACAGGCGTATTTAATTTTAAAATTGGTGACCACTGATGAGATTTAAAAATTAGCTCTTTTTAAAGTCGCTTATTGGCCATGTCTCTATCCTGCAGCAGACGATTAAAAACTATTAATTCTGCACTAGAGGCTGTTTTAAGTATAGAGTAGGCAGTTTCTCATGCTGCTTTCTAAGGGTCAAAGGAAATGCATGACCTTTTCAATTATAACACATTTTAGCACTTTATCTCCCTAAAATAACTTGAATTAAACAAAAACTCCATACATATCTTTTTTTTGAGGAAACAAGTGGAAAGCAGCTAATTTGATTTTATTTACGCATGTTTGTGAGTAAAACCATACTATTGGAAAACATCTTTAAATCCCTGAGCTGAGGGGACCCTTGTAGCAGCAGCTAACTGTTCAGTCTGAGAAACGACTCATTGAATAGCTGTCTGCAGCATGTATGGCTGAGTGAACTTGGCTCCTGATATAAAAAGCCCTCTCTGTTCGCCACTTTCCAGCCAAGAAAACATGCGGTGGGAGAAGGGGAAGCAGCTCCCCCAACTGAAACATGCTGACTGGGAACCCAGAGCTGACTAAACAAGTGGACAAAGCCATGTTTTTTTTAAATAACATTTGGCTGTGATCACAGGCTTAAGAACGCTAACTAGCTGCTGAAGACTGTTCACACGAGAAAGAAATAACTTAAAAGTTATATTCTGACAAAATAACAATTTAGTTGTTTTCATTTTTGGTTGACAATAAGATCGAGAGCATGTTAAATATCCAGAACTTTGCAATGTGTTACAGCAAATTGTCATTTAGAGCATTATTTTATCACTTAAAGGGGTTTTGGTAAGTTATCCAGACTTTTGAGGTTATTTTTTTTGGTTTTCCATGGACCCTGGGTGTTTTTTTTTCTTATTTACATACCAGCATCTGATTTGCAAAGAAAAACCAGATCTTTTATAGGCTCTGCAGTCACAAAGAAACTATTTGCTCTCCTTTTAAAGGTAAAAAAAAAAAACAACCTAAAAACACAGTATCTGAGCACCGACAAGGTGATTCTCAGAGTACTACAAGCTGGAAATACAATCAACTGAGGTATGACGCATCTCACAGGTCTCATTTTCCTTTTTCTTACAGGCATCCTAAAATTTATTTTAGGCCTGACGGTTATTTAAACACACGGTATGCTGTGTTGACTCGTAACTGAATAGAAAGTAAGTGAAAAAAAATTAAAGTCTAAGAATCACAAACTTTTGCTTTTTGGAAGAAAAAGAGAGTAAGACCAGGAATACCTCATTTTAAACTTCATGTTGATGCAGGCAGCAGACGTCTTTGGTTACATACGTGCTGCTGCATTGCACGTAGTACTGGAGTGTTGCACTAGGGGGCAAAATACAGAACTCAGACCAGATAGAGTCCCAAGTTTGAGGGGTTCAACCAAAACAAACATGGCGTCAATAGAATAGATGAGTAACTGGTTCATTTTAAGATCACGGCAGTGACATTGTAGCCAGTATAAAATACCTCTACACCAGAAACGGCGAGTGTATCTTGCTCATTTTGTTCATGCCGCCTACTGGTTAAGTGTATATTGCAGCATCTAAATGTGTTTTCAAACATGTTAAACATGCTTACGCATCGTTAACAAGCAAATATCTTCCAGGCCTAAGCATCAAGTGAAAATATTCTATCATTCTATGAAGGTATTTTCTTAAGTGTTCCAATACAGTACATGGCTTTACATTAGTGAAAAAGTAATTTAAAGGTGCAATATGTAAGAATGAAGCTGGACTGAGCCCGTGTGGTCACATTTTGGTACTGCGACCCCTTTAAAAAAACAAAACAAGTGACTTTTTCCACTGCCGCTCTGAGTTTCAGGGCTGTTCCCAGCTACAGATTAGCACCAGAATGGAAGTATTTGACTGTAGTAGAGTTGATGGAAATTCAAAATGTAGCTTGAGATTTTTTAGAGGCAAGTATTTACTTCTAATTTTCTATAAGGATCAACGTTAGCCTCTAGACCCCCCCCCCCCCCCCCCCCCCCCCACAGTGCCTTTAAATAATATTGAAGTATGATAACAATGGAATCCAAGACTTACCCTCACACACAATCAGAAACAAGCACAGCACACAGTGTTATGTAAAATGTCTTCTGTATTACAAGTCTCAAACTTGACATGTGGATGGCACAAAATTTGCCCCAAAACAGAAATACAATTACAGTAAATCAAAAAAAGTCACATTTTAGAAAATGAAAGAACATTTCTACATGATATACACATGGCTTGCCATTCACTGAACCCCCCCAAAAAATAAAATTATGCCCGCTAGGATAGGTTTTTGTGCTGCTCTTGAAGGACTAGTACCTCTGGAGACAGCTTAAATCTGACCCTGAAATTGCGGGTTTTATTTACAAGCTCAGCTTCCAGGCAGGAAAATAGAAGCTTTTCTAACTCTGACATCAAAGGAAAACAGAGTTCAGGCCGAAAAACGGTTCAAAAGTTCTGATTGCCATCAAGACGCACTGCTGAGGAAGTAGGGCTCATTGGTTGGCACAGTCACAGGAGATTTCTGAGGGAAGGCACTTGACATGGGGTCACGCGGTCACCCCCCCCCCCCCCCCCCCAATGCAGCGACAGCAACGCACCAAGTTTTCTTTTATGTGCTCACTGAGGAGGATTACAGTTTTCGATCAAAATCACCAGACCAGAGAGGGGAGAGCTTAGATAAATATGTTGGTGTGACACAAGTCCACGCTTCAAAACGGTCTGCGAGGGAGATTGCACATGACAGTTCAGAGGGATTACATGGAACTGGATCGGAGTGACCTGTGCAAGGCTCGAGTGGTGATTTTCTGAGAGATTTTAAATGCTTTCAGACCTCCTCTAAAAGGTGACCAATCCCAACTCTGCCTTGTCTAGGGATTTGGCACAATAACCTAAAATATCGTTATCATTGGCACCAATCTCCAAGGCAGAAGAGAACTCAGCCCAGAGGATTTAACAGTATTAATAAAGAAAATCAAATAATATTATAGTAAAAGACCAGAAATCACGTGACTCTTAGGTTTTTCAACTAGACATTCCACTGAGGCACATTTCCAGAGAAAATTACCTATATATCTATCTATATATAGATAGATATAATTCCAAAACATTCAAGTACTTTTTGTCATGTAAACACTTTTCTAGGCTATGATACATCATCGATTGTTGTCGATGTGTGTGTGTCTGTGCAACAATAAGACAACAGTGGGAAGAGAGAGAAAATACTTTTTAACAAATGAACAGAAAAAGAATGAAAACCCAGCAGAACAACTTCTGAGCTCAAACCCAGAAGAGTTTCCTGGATCTTCAGAGCAGGACACATGCGCAGCACTGGTCGCCACCACTGGGAACAGCGGAATAATTCATCTGTCTCACTATTTCTGCAAACAGTTCGTCGACAGATCCTTTATTTTTGGCTGATGTTTCCATAAAGGGGCAGCTCCAGTCTTGAGCCAGCGCCTTGCCTTCCCCGGAAGTCACCTCTCTCTCCACCTCCAGATCCACCTTGTTCCCCACCAGGATCATGGGCACCCTCTCGTACCTCTTCACCCGGATGATCTGGTCTCTCATGGGCTTGATGTCCTGGAAGCTCTGCTGATTAACCAGGCTGTAAACCAAAATAAAGCCCTGCCCGTTCTTGATGTACAGGTCGCGCATGGAGGCGAACTGCTCGGTCCCGGCCGTGTCCAGGATCTCCAGCACCGACGGGGACGAGTCCACCTCGATCTCCTTCCTGTAGAAATCCTCTATCGTGGGGTCGTACTTCTCGATGAAGGAGCCCGTCACAAACTGGACCGTCAGCGCGGATTTACCGACTCCGCCCGAGCCCAAAACGACCACTTTGTACTCCCTCATGGCTGGGGGAAAAAAAAAGAAAGGCAGACACCTCCTTTATTTCCGCGACCAGCCCCGATGCTTTCAAAGCGAGCAGGCGGGGAAGGCTGCGCTCTCGCTCGGATAGCAGTGGAAACGCACGCCGGCGGCTGGTCCTCCTGGCCTGCTGCCGCTGTGTCAGGGCTGCGGGGAGCGGATCCGAGGAGAGCGAGCGCTCCTGGACATCAGCGGGCGGAATTAGAGCACATTTTGTTTGCACTGAATTGTGCAACTGTGCGGGGAAGCGTGATCGCTCCTCTGCTGTTGCATGGCGTTTCCTGCCCACATCCTCAGCGCGTCAAAAGCTGAAGCGCAGTTCCGTTTTCTTAAAGGAGCCGCCTCACCAAAATAGTCTGGGGCCTCCGACCCAGACCTCCTTAGCACTTTCACTCCAGTTCCACACATCCGTGCTAATTAGGTCATTGATTCACTTTGCATGTGTCTGATTCCCAATTGCATGAAAAGATCATTGGCTCTGCCCTCAATTATCTTTCTGCAAAGCATAAATGATCCACTTGGCTCTATTTTTTTGACTGACCGTTTCTTCACCTTATAGTGTAAGTATAAATGGAGCTGATTTGTGGCCATATTTAGAGACAGATTTAGTTTTGAATGCCTAATACGTATTACTGTTTATCTGTTCTTCAGCCCCATCTTTGCATAAATGGATGGATTAGATCAAAACAACAAACAAAAACAACTTCCTGCCACTTCACCTCAAAATACATGTGTGCAAATTAGCCCCCTAAATATCGATGTTACATCTTCCTGATTAAATTAATCATTTATGAAACACCATGAAAATAACCTTTAAAAAACCTATTCCAAAGATGCTGATTGGAAATAAAGGGCAGTTTTGCACAAACATGACTAGTTAACAAGATGCAAAGGGGAACTAAGCAGTTGTCGCTTGATTTTAGCACCCCCTAGTGTCCGTTTGTAGAACCAAAAGCAAAACCCATCTCACGGTGCGTTCGTCTTTTAAATATCTTAATCTGAAAGCTGAAAAATTTCCCCAGCCTTAGGGCCGTGATATACTTGCTGTTTAACCTCTACTACTACTTTGGGGAAATGTGCATGCACAGACCAATTACTGCATCACAGGCTGTTTATCGGAAGAGATGCGCTACCTCTGTAAGTTGTTATATTACTGCTTGTTGTATGTTTACCTGACAGTTAGCTTTTAAATGGCTTGTAAAATATTCATTATTCTGTAAACAAGAAATTTCTCCCGTTGTTTACCGTCATTCACGGAATCATGACAAACACGGTCTTTTTCATAAATAAATCACAACACTTTATATTTTTGCTAAGAATTATACTACAGTTCTGTATTTTTGAGTAATATCACCTATTTAAAATAAACCGTGCTACATAAGCGTGTTACTATACTGCAAACAATAGCGAAACTGTTGTAACACCGTGAGATAGGAATATTCAACGAGGAAGCACATACAGTCAGAACACCGGGTTTGCTGGTACAACCAAAACAACCATGGCATTAATAAAAGAGCTCACCAACTGGTTAATTTTGACATCACGGCATAAAAAAAAAAGACAGCAGTGGTATCGTAGCTGGTGTGACAGACCTCTAAACCAGAGACGGAATCACCATGGTGAGTGTGTCGGGCTCGTTTTGTCAACTCCACCTACTGGTTACTCGTTTATCGCAGCGATCGGACACGTTTATTTCGGGGGATGTGCACGAACCACTTTTCAAATCAATGCAAAGATTTAGATCTTTAACGCGTAGCAGCCATTTTAAAAACGTGTTTGCATTGTTAAACAGCACGTATATCACATCCCTTAGTGCCTACACGAGTGACTCATCACTAAATTAAACAAATCAGCTGCGTTCATGATCTAAAACATGCAGGAAACGTTCTGGAACCTGACTGCAGCGCCAGGTGTGTCAGCTCAATTTTTCATGAGTCCCAACAGAGTTTGGAAGTTGCAAGTGGAAGATTCTGGCCACAGAGGATGATAGGGTGGCCTTTCATTAACCCTGTAAAGCAGGGATATTCAGTTCCGGGACTCAAGGACCGGTATCCAAAACGTTTTAGTGGTTTCTGGTCTCCAACACACTTGAGTGGTTGAGTCACCTGTGCAGCAGCTCATCAGGCTCTGCAGAAGCCTGTTAATCACCTACTAATTAAAATCAGGTGTGTTGAAGCAGGGTTAAAACCAAAACGTGCTGGAAACTGGCCCTCGAGGCCCGTAATTGAATAGCCCTGCTGTAAAGAGTCATATTGGCACATACTGGCTCAAGATAACGATTTGAAAATATGAAAATGCTGCAAAGTATCTCTTTAACAATAAAAAGCATTTTCCAAAACATATGACACGTTTATTCTGATAACAATTAGAACTAATAAATAAATATCCAAGAAACCGGCCACATTTTTGGAAACATCCAAGTATATTCTTTTCCATCTTCACCATAATGTAGTCTTTCATTTTCCCAACAGTGAAAAAAAAACTAATAAATCTAAATAGTTTGTTACATTTTTATATAAAAAGATCAAAACACACAGAGGCAGTGTTGCATGAGCAAATCAAATCGCTTTATTTGGATTTTTTTCCCATCCATAGCCTACAGCAAGAGTCAATAATGGCAACAGTAAAATCTGCATAAACAAATCCAGAGACAGAAGAGTACATTATTGTGTGGCGACTGTTAGCGAATACATAACTGGTGGGTGCACGTACAAGTAAAAAGCAATCAAAGCAAACGTGTGCGCCCAGCAGGGAGGAGAGACCTTGGCTGCAGCCAGAATACTTAAAAGTCTGGTTTGGAGAAAATGGTGCTTTGGTTCAGTAGCGACTATACAAAGCAGCCTCAAGCTAGAAACATATTGACATTGACTATTACATTCATGTTAAAGACTAAATTTAGCCAAATATGCTTTTGGTGTGATGAGCTTTCACCTGCTGAGTGCACAGCTAAAGCAGGAACAACTGCTCGTGAGTTAGTGGGGACGGTAAAATCTCTGAACATAACTGAGGTGGACAAGTGCTAATATGTTGTTATTCTTTAAATAACATGTTCGCTTGGGAACATTTGAATAAGACTATTTGTTTTTTCAAGGTTCTCCACGCAGTGGATGTTATGGCAATTTAAAAAGAAGAGTATTGTGGATTCTGTATTCTGAAGGTGTCTTTCCTATCTACACAGCATCTTTTGTTTGCATGCAGTCAAATCAAACTCTATACATTTTTTATAGGTTCCTGTAATGACTGTACCATGGGATTGGATCCAATAAAGGATATTACTGGATGTGTTATCCTATGAAAGTGTGGAGTTAGCCTGACACGGGCCGATTTCTCCTTCCCTGTAGCATTCCCTGGCATTAGGAGCCACCTATAAAATAAGACAACAAGCGCATAGCTTTCTCTGAATGCGTTGGCCAAAAAACAAAAACTAGTGCCCTTCTCTGCAAGCAAAATTTAGCTGGTCTTCTAATTTAAGAATTTAAATTAATCTAACAAAGTTCCTTATAATTATAGATCTTTATTTTATTTTATTCAAAATAATATCTCGATATGATACACATTTTTTTCTCTGTTCATTTTTTACTATTTACAGAAGTGCAAAAAGTTAACCTTCGTCCCTTAGGTTGGAACTCTGCAGCATTTCGGACTCGTCCTCGGCGGAAAAGTCTTTGCTTTCTCACACCAAACATCCACGTCAATCTCACCGCTCGTTTTGGCCTGACATTCAGGGCAAACTTAATATTCAAACAAAAGTACACATCTCTTTGAAATGGATACAGTAGAAAATAATCATTTTCCCTCTAAAACATGAACAGTCTGTATTCTGATACGATATAGTATTTCCAAACATGACAACAGACAATTTTACAAAGAAAATCAAAGCATTCTCATTGGCTGAGAGAAACTGCTGTGGCAGCTAATTAGTTGATCTCATTCCTTGTGTGGAAACATTTCTCACCGATATAATTAAATGACATTATAACATCGTCTGAGAAAGACATCCAGCTATATGAAGGACATGAAAATTTCACACGTTTATAGGTTTGAAAAAGTTATGTATGTCATACTAGCTTAACATCTACGACTACGTGAATATTGTCAAGTAATAATATAGTAAGGCAAAAAATAAAGAAGTAAAATCTAAAACTACATACCTCAAACAGATTCAAATCCTTAAGTAGTACATAACAATGTCATTTCAGAGTAATTCTTTTTAAAGAGACAAAATAAATGAACAGAAATGAGGGAATCGCTGATCTAAAGCGTGAGAACTATAAAACACCATCAGTGTTTTATTTGAACCTGCACGGTGATTGAGAGGACATTTTGATTGGGTACAGACCCGTTAATGGTAATCTAAGGCTTTGTTAGTCACATGACAATCTTTAAAGATAAAATACACACTTGTGTGAAAAACAGGAAAATCATCATAAAACACACAGATAAAAGATTATAAACACATTTCCTTAATTGTTTTAAGCCTCTTCTGAGATCTCTCTACAATCTAACATGAATAAGACTTAAAGAGGACAAAACTGTGCTTTGGTTTTCTATAGATAGATGTACAAGTTGATTAAACTTCATCGTTTTACGTGGAATACAAGTCAAAACGTATGGTGACTTATGCTTCTGCTAAAAACAATGAAGGTTGACTCTGGAGGGGTTGAGGGAAGTAAAAAAAAAGGATATATTCAAGTGCACATGTGGTTTAAATGACCTAATAGACCGCTGGGTCTGCCGTTTCAAATTCCCATCAACGTGTGGCTCAACGCTGCTTCTTAGAGACACAGTTAGAGCTGCTTCTCTTTGAAAAACAGAGGAGAGTAAGGTAACACAACGCTAATTAGAGCTACACCCTCAAGATCACCCTGCTTTAGAGTCGACAGACTTAATCCTGACCTATTAAAACAAAACTAGTCCATTAAAAGAGGTATGACAAACTTTAGAAAAACTTAACTATCAAACTAATTAATTTGGTGAAAAAAACTTCTACAACTATTTTTGAAAGAGAAAATAAAATTAAAAACCCTAAAGATTAAAATATAAAAACACTCAAAATGGAGATTCTCAAAACCAAACAATACAAAAAAAAAAAAAAGAGAGCCATACAAAACTTCTACTTTCGGTAAACAAATAACACTGCTGAGATAACACTCTGGTTTTTAGCTGTATGGCCTTGATGGCACGAGACTAAATGAGAAATAAAAAGCTAGCCTGGCTGTGCTTTCACGGTACACAGGTGTGTTGGTTTTACCCAGAACATTCATATGTCCAAAACCCTCATTTCAACATCTAGTTTCACTAGTAGCCGTAAAACACAATACTGTACACACCTAATGCATTTGGCAGAGGAAAAAAAGCTAATTCTGTTAGCGATATTGTGCCTTTCAGATTTCCATCAAATTCAAGGTGCATATCTGCGTTTCTTCTGTAAACTATGAAATATGGCTATCGATTCAAAAAATAAAATAAAGAAAAAAATTAAACTCTTGGTCTACTGACATACCAGCACTTGATGTTATCTCATAACAACGCTCTTGCATGCAGAAATGATAGTGAGTTGGACAGACTGAGTGCTGTGATTTCATCAGACATAGAGGTATCATGTGAGCGTTTCCCACCGACCCTGGCACTGTGTTGTCCTCTCCTCTCTTGGCTGCACGTTGAATTTGACAGCAAATTCTCCTGGATATTGATATGTGGGAAGATGGCACGGATCACGTGTTGTGCCCTTGATGTTTACACATGTGACGAGGCCGTTGCTGTGGACAGGCTAAGAGATGGCAAACCCTCTTTGTCCCATTGCTTGACATTCTGAAGGTTACGTACATAAAGGCTTTAACTCTTTTGGCTTGGACGGTGCCAGCACACATTCATTTGATCTGCAAAAGATGAGAAATTAGTTTTAGAAACCCGGATTTGGACGTCCAACACGATGAAATCGCTTTTTCTGCCATGAGTCGCTCACACACACACGGAACGAACTGAAAAAGAAACTCACTGTTCTCGAGAGGAACTACATTTGAGTCAAGTACTTGTGACTCAGATGATCTGCAGATATTATTGGAATCTGAGGGGCAGAAAACAGAGATCAAATGAAGCACTCCAAATCGGAAGCACACAAAATGGCTGCCGGCCTCCAAAAAAAACAAAAAAAAAAAAAAACAAATCAAGATCAGCAGAATTTAACCACATTCTCTCACATTAAGACAAGTTCTTTGCTGCAAAGAGACAACAATGAGAAGATGGAACAAGCTTTGGCTATAGTCTGTTGGTTTAAGCATGGCACATGGACAGACAGACAAGAATCAGCACACATTAGTGGGTAGCAGGGAGGGGACGGTTTAAAGGAAGGGAAAGATGAGGGGGTGAACAGGAAACTGTCGTTAGGTGGCTTCCCCATGCAAATCTAAGTGCTCCATGTTGTTGACCTGCACAGCTCAATAAACTCCAGAAAACTAATTCAGCATGACAAAGATGCTAATTTATCCTAAGTAATTTTCCTTTTTTAAAAATAAATAAAAGCTTACAAATCAAAATTTTATTATTTTATTCCTTTTCTGACATGAATAATGGGTACATCCAGCTTTTAAACACAAAGAACATGGTAAAGCTTTGCTTTATGAGCTGGAAGCAGCTGCAAAAAAATAAATAAAGAAAAAACAAGTCAGCCAAGCACAGGAGGGCAAAGATAGCGACTATTGCTTAAGCTGTGCAAATGGCTCTAAAAATATAAAAAATTTAAATTAAAACCAAAAAACAGCTACCTCATACATACCAATTGCATGTATTCGTTGGTAGTCAACTTTGATAAGGAAGAGTCCTCAAAACGGGAAAGGACAAAAATCAAGTTACAATGAGGACACACATTTATATTTGATACACATCAGGAAGGGCTGAAATAAAAACCCGGATATGTCGGAAAAACAAGACTCTTTGCAGTGTTGTTAAGGCATGTTGGACTCTAGTGTAGGCCAACAAGAGGGAGTACTGCTAACCCAACCCTCGTAAGACACAAGCATTCCAACTCTTGTCAATGTGCACGGAAAGACAGAAATGAAGGAGGCGCAAGGCAATAGACAGACAGATAGATAGATGATAGATAGACAGATAGATGATAGATAGACAGACAGACAGATAGATAGATGATAGATAGACAGATAGATAGATAGATAGATGATAGAGAGATAGATGATAGATAGACAGATAGATGATAGATAGACAGACAGACAGATAGATAGATGATAGATAGACAGATAGATAGATAGATAGATGATAGAGAGATAGATGATAGACAGATAGATAGATAGATAGATAGATAGATAGATAGATAGATAGATAGATAGATAGATAGATAGATAGATAGATAGATAGATAGATAGATAGATAGATGATAGATAGATAGATAGATAGATAGATAGATAGATAGATAGATAGATAGATAGATAGATAGATAGATAGATGATAGATAGATAGATAGATAGATAGATAGATAGATAGATAGATAGATAGTTAGATAGATAGATAGATAGATAGATAGATAGATAGATAGATAGATAGATAGATAGATAGATAGATAGATGATAGAGAGATAGATGATAGAGAGATAGATAGATAGATAGATGATAGACAGATGATAGATAGATGATAGATAGATAGATAGATAGATAGATAGATAGATAGATAGATAGATAGATAGATAGATGATAGATAGATAGATAGATAGATAGATATATAGATAGAGTGAGGTGGGAGAGGTGCAAACCTGATTGGTGGAGGCAGTTGCGAAGGGAACGCTTGTGGCAGATGTGGTGGCTGCAGACACAGTGGCTGGAGTACCACCGTGCATCATGGGAACTTTTTTTGGAGGGAAAATCATGTAAGCATAAATACACAAGGGAGCAGAGGAGCCAAAAACACATGGGGGTGGGGGGTAGGGGGCAGGTTAGGAAGGAGGAAACTGAAAAGGGATTCAACTGAACTATTTCCCTTGTCTTTCCTCTGCAGATGCTAAATTGAGTTTTGGGTTTGATGCGGCGGCGTGGCTGAAAGCTGATGAATGACATCACTTTACATTTTTTGGTAAAACAGAGACGGAAACCATCTTTTAAAGGTTCCCTAAACAAATGGCAAAGAGCAGAACGTGTTATGGATGGCAGAGAAGACTAAGAGGGAGGTGTACTTGAATCCCCTTGTTTTATTTTCATTTGAAAGGATTTTAAAAGGGTATCTGGTTAGCTCAGCCAAAACATGTTCAGAACAGGCAATGAGAACAGGAGTATTCAAGCAGCACTAAGTAAGATTAACAGTAAATCAACATTAATGATAGAAATGATTAACAAAATTAAAGTAACATTTTGTGCCTTCCTGAAACTAAAACAGTGATTTTGATCTCACCCAAAACACAATAAGTGTGAGTGAACAGATTGCTTTTGATGATCAGTGACTCACAGACATGAGGTTACAAAGAACTAAAGAAGGAAAGCTGGAACCTACCAACGCTGGCTGCAGGTGTCATGCACAAAATTGAGCCTGCCCATCATGCAGTGCAACAGGAAGTGGATTGGGTAGGGAAGAGAAATCAAAACAGCCCATCACAAGATTCGTTAGGGTGAAGGGGGAGATAACGTGGGGGGAAAAAAAGGTTAATATTATTTGGACACAGAAATCAGTGACTGGAGAATGCCAAGTGGTGAACTCATCAAAGAGAAATGTGTCTCAACTGAGACTTCTGGTGCAATGCTTATGAATTCACTAAGAGTATTTAACATCATGTATAAAGTCAAGCGGCGTAAACATGTGCACAAACCCGATTCTATACCCTGATGTTTGTTAAGAAAAGAAAACAGAAGATTTCCCAGCTCCACCGATTCAAGCCAAAGCCCCCAAACCTTCTATTCTTCTACAGCCTTACCTCTTGCTTCCTACGTAGGTTTACAGACTAGGAGGTAGATACTATATACAGGTGCTGGCCAGTAAATTAGAATATCATCAAAAGGTTGAAAATATTTCAGTAATTCCATTCAAAACGTGAAACTTGTACATTATATTCATGCAATGCACACAGGCCAATGTATTTCCGATGTTTATTACGTTTAATTTTGATATTTATAGGTGACAACCAATGAAAACATCAAATCTGGTATCTCAGAAAATTAGAATATTCTAAAGGCCAATGAAAAAATGTTTGTTTCTCTAATGTTGGCCAACTGAAAAGAATGAACATGAAAAGAATGTGCATGTATAGCACTCAGTACTTAGTCGGGGCTCCTTTTGCCTCAATAACTGCAGTAATGCGGCGTGGCATGGACTCGATCAGTCTGTGGCACTGCTCAGGTGTTATGAGAGCCCAGGTTGCTCTGATAGTCGTCTTCAGCTCCTCTGCATTGTTGGGTCTAGCGTATTGCATCCTCCGCTTCACAATACCCCATAGATTTTCTATGGGGTTAAGGTCAGGCGAGTTTGCTGGCCAATCAAGGACAGGGATACCATGGTCCTTGAACCAGGTGCTGGTGGTTTTGGCACTGTGTGCAGGTGCCAAGTCCTGTTGAAAGGTGAAGTCTGCATCCCCATAAAGTTGGTCAGCAGCAGGAAGCATGAAGTGCTCTAAAACTTCCTGGTAGACGGCTGCATTGACCCTGGACCTCAGGAAACAGAGTGGGCCAACACCGGCAGATGACATGGCACCCCACACCATCACTGACGGTGGAAACTTTACACTGGACCTCATGCAACGTGGATTCTGTGCTTCTCCGCTCTTCCTCCAGACTCTGGGTCCTTGATTTCCAAAGGAAATGCAGAACTTGCTTTCATCAGAAAACATAACTTTGGACCACTCAGCATCAGTCCAGTCCTTTTTGTCCTTGGCCCAGGCGAGACGCTTCTTGCGCTGTTTCTTGTTCAAGAGTGGCTTGACACACGGAATGCGACACCTGAATCCCATGTCTTTCATGAGTCTCCTCGTGGTGGTTCTTGAAGCGCTGACTCCAGCTGCAGTCCACTCTTTGTGGATCTCCCCCATATTTTTGAATGGGTTTGTCGTCACAATTCTCTGCAGGGTGCGGTTATCCCTAGAGCTTGTACACTTTTTTCTACCACATTTTTTCCGTCCCTTCGCCTGTCTGTTAATGTGCTTGGACACAGAGCTCTGCGAACAGCCAGCTTCTTTAGCAATCACCTTTTGTGTCTTGCCCTCCTTGTGCAAGGTGTCAATGATTGTCTTTTGGACAGCTGTTAAGTCAGAAGTCTTCCCCATGATTGTGGTGCCTTCAAAACAAGACTGAGGGACCTTTTAAAGGCCTTTGCAGGTGTTTTGAGTAAATCAGCTGATTAGAGTGGCAGCAGGTGTCTTCTATATTCAGCCTTTTCAGAATATTCTAATTTTTTGAGATACCAAATTTGGAGTTTTCATTAGTTGTCACTTATGAATATCAAATTTAAATGTAATGAACATTGGAAATACATTGGTCTGTGTGCATTGCATGAATATAATGTACAAGTTTCACGTTTTGAATGGAATTACTGAAATATTTTCAACCTTTTGATGATATTCTAATTTACTGGCCAGCACCTGTAGACTTGTATTAAGCCAGATAGTAGAAAGAAGGAGATTGAAACCCCTCCCTAATTCCTTGATGCCATGCAATGCCATACAAAGCAAAATATGCACATTTCTGAACCATTTCTTTGACTGAAATACACGTCATTTCATCCCTACGTTGGACTAATGTGTTTATTCCTCCTGTCTAAGACAAAACAGTTCATAACAAAAGTGTGCTCATCTGCAATCTAGCACTACGCCAAACCCCAACCAAGCAAGAAGCCAGGTTAGACCGATCCAGCTGTTCACTGCCCTGGAAGCCATACCTGATGGGAAGAAAGCAGGCTGCTGCTGAAACTGCATGCTGGCCAGGGCTTGTTGGTACTGGAGCATGCCAGTGTTAAACACGGCAGTGGCCCCATTGGCCTTCTCCAGGGCTGCCCGCTTTGGGAGGGGAGCCATGACACTAGGAGTGATGCCCTGCCCGTCCAGACGGAAGGGAGGTCATGAAAGGCCGGACAGGAGGAAGAGAAGAAAGAGGTGTGTGGAGCAGAGAGAGGGTGTGTTAGAGAGGCAAAATCAGGAAAGAAAAAACAAAAACAGGTACATACGTTAGAGGACATCAGAGATACAGAGTGACAATATCTTTGTGTGTACAACAATAACAATATCATATCATATCATCAGTAGCAAGCAAGCAGCAGTCTGACACAAGTACTACACAAGCAGGAGCATGATGCCTACTGGAGCTATGTGCTGACAGGCATTTATGTATTAATTACATAAGCTTATTAATTCTGTACACTGACTAATAAGCAAGCGTTAACTATTAAAACAATAAGGCAGCTAACGAGGTGGAACAGGTAATAATAAGCACAGAGAAAGGGAGGCTGCACTGCTAGCTCCATGATAAACTGTGTAAGCCGTGTTTAAGTGATGGTTCACTCTCTAAAACAAAATCAAAAATGGTTTAAGGCCAAGAAATATGAAAAACTACTTGTTTTTAACGGTGGACTTGATCTTGGCTTTAGGCCATTCTTGAGTACCGGTTACAAGACATGGATGTGAGTGAACGATCATTTGAACTGTGATAAACTGTTAAGGTGGGATCATTCCTGTGTGGTTATAAAGACTTGTCCTCTTAGCCCCACCCACATCCATTACAACATGCACTGACACAGACATGCACACATTTGATCAAGCAGCTCCACCACGCTCACATTTAGACACCAGACTGAAGCCATGCCACCCTCACAGAAGCTCTACTTCCCTAGCGCTCGCTAACTACAGTTAAAAAGGCTGCGGGTGATGAGCTGATTGTGGCTCCCGTGACTGAATTTGCGTTAAAAGATGAGGTGAAAAGGCCACAATCAGTCTATCACGAGCAGCGCGGACAGATCAGCAGGAGGAAAAGACACACACGACACTTAAGACTCACGCAAACAGCTAGGTATCTTTGGTTAAAACACTTCTGTGCAACAAAGCCACATGCATGCCAAGCTAAAAGGTGAAAGGTCATAGTACCAGGTCAAAGGTTGCGTCGAGGGGTCGCTTCAGTGATTTGACAGCCGACTGAGTCTTAATTAGCAGGCAGCGAGCACATGATGGCAATGGGCCAATGGGGTTCAAGCGCATTAACATAAACCAGCAAGCAGAGGTGCATCATGGGGGCAGCAGTGCAGTTTGGGTATAGGTGAGAAAAAACAAAACAAATAAAAAAACAAATCATTGGAATGCAATATACAAGGGGATAACAGGACTAAGGCATGCACAGTGTGGAAACTAGCTCCACTCAAACGATAAAAACTACAAATTATTTCTAAACAAGAAGGAATTAAATACAATCAGAAAAATAGTTACTTTAAGTGAGTCTCGGCAAACGGACAGGAAACAAGTACAGGAGTACACTTCTCAAGTTTCTGCTTCACTGTGCATATTATAGTCAGATTTACATCAAGAACCCCCACCCCACCCCACAGCAATCAACACGACCGGCGTGCCTAATGTTCAGTGGTGGCGTTACAGCAGGACAAGCCTGAAAGCGCCGCAAATTGTTCCCATTAATGTCAAGAGGAAGAGAAGTTATGGATAGGAAGAACAGAAACAATGGAGTCATAAATAAAGCAACAACAACAGAGAGAGAGGAAGAAAAAGCTACTCGACCCTCTGCTTGTGGTTTCAGTAAAGGGACTAAACAGTGTTTGCAGAATTAGGAAGGAGAACACAGTAATAACCAGCGTTACAGAGTATTATTGTTTTATGCTACTTCATGCCATCTGAAACTGAGCAGCTTGGACTCAAACCAACATGCAGACAATTTGGATTTGACCCGACAAAAGCAGAACTACAAACGTCACAATCCGAACATGAACGTGAGTTTGAGACAAACAGCTTTAGGTGGTTTCGTCTAATCTGAATTAAAACGGTAACAACCTGTGGTGCTGGTTTTAAACGGGTGCTCACCATGGCTGCGGCTGCTGTGGCCTGGTTCACCTGATGCTGCGTGGCCTTGATTTTGGCCTGCAGGTGTGCTGGAGGGTGGAAGTACTTGCACTTTTCCCTGGAGCAGCGACCCTTGATGAAGTCCATGCATACGGTGACGGTGTTGTCGTTGGTGTCGATCATGGTGCTGTCTGCAGGGTGGGCGAAGCGACACTCGCCCTCCCCTCGAGCACAGTTTCCTCTCTGATACTCCCGACACACCTGGAACAGGTAAAGGAAGGACAATCCGAACTCAGGATGGGATCAAGTCGGCTTCATCCGGAGAGTCCAAGCTTTTACATTAGTCGTAACGATGAGCGTAAAAATCCCTTTACTCAAGTGTACTATTGACTGCTTTAAGATTTAAAAGTAAACAAGCAACGTAATAAAACTAAACTCCAAAATCTTCTAAAATCTAAACAAATTTACTACAAAAACTGATTTAAGAGGGGATTACGATGCACGAAAAGACAAAAATAAAAGGGAGAAAGAAATGGCTAAAGATAGATTTTCCAAAAAGGGAAGTTTGAAATGAACATTTTAATCTTCCTGTTTAACAAGAATCAGTTTCAGAGTTCTCTAGTCCAGCAGTGGTAAAACCTTTGCACTTTAACACAACTAATATTTTATTTTGTCCTTAAACCGAACAACCGAGGTATCACCAAGTAGCTCAGATCCTCAGGAAGTCTGCATAAAAGACAGCAGGGGGCAGCACCTTCCTTTAAATTAGAAGGAAGTGGAGAGGTTTCTGTTTACTTGAAATATTGTTGATTTTATTTACTGCAGTAAAAAATAGGTGTCTTTTTGAAGCCTTCTTTTATTTTCTGAAGGCTGATTAAAGTTCTTGGTTACCTAAAAAAATGTCGGCAGTTCTTTTTCGTTGTTACTGCTCAAACATTCAGGAATGTTCTGACTCACTTCTGCTGAATGTCTCATGGGCCTCTGAACTGTTTTGTCTGCTGAAGCAAGACTCAGTAGAAATACCCCCCCAAAAACAAACAAACAAACAAACAAACAAACAAAAATAACAACAACAACAAACAGATATTTGATTGCGTCAATTATCAATAAACTCCTACTTGATGCGAGTCAAATATAGATTATTGCAATTTAATTCTTATTCCAATTTCATTTCCAAAACTGTTTTTATATAAATGCACTAAAATAACTATAGTCCCGTGCTTATCGCTGTACTTATTGTCTTCTTTATGCAAACACACTATTCCAAAGTAAAAAAAATACAACTGGAAGCAAAAATTTTCTGAATACAAGCCCCTACAATATTTTCTTCATAAAAGCATTATTGAATCAACACAGTTAGTGTGTTACCTCAAGTCTGTCTGTTCTCAACAGTTTTTGGGCTGCAGCAGCATTGGGAACTTGGCTGACGGTGGGGCTGGAGGCCATGAGGACGGTGGTGCTGGGCAGGATCTCTGGAGGCATCAGGCTTGGAGACATGGGGCTCAGGTAGGGATTAAAGGCTGCAGCTGCAGCAGCTGCTGCTGCACTGGCATTAGTGGCCAGGCCTGGTGTCACTGGGAATATGGGCTAGAGCAGGAAGTAAAAAGGAGAGCACAATAGGTCAGATGAGTGCTATGATATGTGAGAAAATTGAAAGACTTAAATGCGTAGGACTCGTTTAATCAATGCATTTGCAGCGGTCTCTGGTAGGAATGAATGCCTTGCAAGCCGTGCTCAGGTCAAAAAAGCCCAGAAGCACCTGGATCAGCATGGGCGATTCTGCTGCGGCAGAGAGCGGCACAACACGGCAGGGCCTGGTCTTATTTCCTGATATTTGGACATCTTGCCTCTGATTGGACAATGGAAACGCAACTCTGCCACAGACTCAATTTGCTCTGCGACATCTCCATAAATAAACAAGGCTGGAGGAGCTTCTGCCATGTGGTTGAGTTGCTAATGCTAACTGTTAGCTTCTGCTAGCCGAGACGTTCTCTGCTGTTTCCTGGGTGCCAAAACAACAACAGCCTTGCATGTCGCAAGCCAAGATGAGTCCATGTGACAGTGTGATATAGATCTGTCAGGCTTTTCAAATCCTAGAGTTTCTATTTTCTATCAGAACATGCAGGAGTTAGATGTAGGAGACTATTTTCATGTTCAGCCTGCATGAAAATCTCTAAAAGAAGAAAATATACCAAGGGAACGAGCTTTGTCGCCCTTAACTATGTGGTCTCACCATGGTGTTCATATTTGTGTGTCCTCTCACCATAGGGGGTAGCTGTGTGCCAGGCATCATGGCATTGGCGAGCTGCATCTGCTGGGCCAGCATGGCCATGTTCTTCTGCTGGATCAGGTTGTTCCGGCCGTTGATCTCTAGCTGGGTCTTTAGGTGGGGAGGAGGGTGCAGGTACTTGCAGTTCTCCCTAGAACAACGACCCTGAGAGGAAAAATAAAGGAAGTGACATATTTTATTATTATCAACAGAAGTATAAAGTTCCCGAGGAAGTATCCCAGGTACGAATTTAACTGATTTTATAGAAACAAGGTGGTGTTTATTTTTTTTTTTACTTTAGGCTTCTCTAGTCTCTATATTCACCAATCTTTGAATAAATATCATGGACTTTGATGCACTTAAAAGCTGCTGCGAGTCAGAATTATAACAAACCGTTTAAATGTAACACTCTAAAGCAAAAAAAGGTGTAAATGGTTGGGCGAATGTTCTGAATTACACCGTTTCCCAGTGGAAGCTTGGTAACTTATGTGTACGCAGTGTCAGGCGGTCTAATTTACATTAGGTCAAGGCTCAGCCTATCACTAATTGTTAACAGCTTGCTGTTTCAGTCAGCCTCAGTTGGGACATGTGTGCGTCTGTGCACCAGCCCCATGGGAAGGGGGATCCTGATTGATATGGTTGTGCTTTCTTCTAGATTTGAAGTTTAGCATGTCTAAGTGAGACTAAAAATAATGTACGCTCATACGTATGATCAGTCTATATTACATCAGGAGTCATCCAGAGGTCACACATCAAAACCTCAGAGAAATTATTTGAAACAGAGATCCATTTCTGCTGCCTTCTGCAAATATAATTTTATACTTTCAGTTTAGAGAGTTGTGCCGCCAGACGGTTTGACACATTTAAATTGGAGAGGCCAGCTAAAGAGCGTGCTGATCGGGGTCGCGGTCACGTACAGTCTGATATAAACATGCAACACAAACATGAAAATACACACAAAAATTTCCACAACACAAGAAAGGTGTGTGTTTACTTTCAGCAGAGTGGCACAGCTGATCCAACAGCGGCGTCTGTGCTTTCCCTCGCTGACAGAGCTGACCTCACTGACCTCACTGGGATTTATCTCTCTACTGTGACACGACCGTATTCCACCCGTTAGTATCCTTTACTTTCACTGACACTGAAGCACCAGACAGGTGGCCGCAAAAGAGGAAGAAATTAGAACCAGGGAGGGGGGCGTTACTCAGGCCACACAGGAACATTTGTGAGATATTTTGTTTTGTTCACTCGTCTCCATCTCAGGTTGTTGCTGGGCTATTTTTGAAGATATTGCAGATCGTGCAGCTAATAGCAGGCTAACATCATCTCAGAATACTAATTCATGTTGCAAAACCCTACAGGCAGTCTCAGGGATTATTTTCTGCACGGCTTGAATAATAAAATGCATCACAATGAAATAAAATATAGAAATGAAATGGTTAATTAAGATAGTAACAAAATAATAAAAATGTTACAATTTCATGTTTTATAGAAAACAGAATACATGAAACAAACCATGTTTACATTTTATTTAGTTGACTGTCATTTCCTCATAGGCTAAATAAAATAGTTGCAATAATCTTGCATTTGCAATCTTTAAAAGAAAAGAAAGAAAACGATCTTTTATATAGCGCCTCTCAAGATAAAATACAAGAGGCGCTTCACAAGAACAAAAATACAAAAAAATTAATACAAATTTTTTAAAATCATTACAATTTCATAGAAATGAGGAAAAAATGTAATTTAAAATGTAATGAAAGAGAAAATAAATAAGAAAAAAGTATCCTGTAAGAGGATCCTGGGAAAGGCAGAATTGGTAGAAAGAGCAGAATGAGGTGAGGGTGGTAAAAGCTAACCTGAACAGGTGAGTTTTCAGCTGCTTTTTAAAGGAGACCACTGAGTCCACTGATCTCAGGCTCAGGGGGAGAGAGTCTGGGGGCCACAGCAGCAAATGATCTGTCACCTTTGGTCTTTAGCCTGGTGCGCTGCACATCCAGTAGGCTTTGATCACTTTTGAGTCCATTTATGACATTTTATTTAAATTCACTAATGTTTATAAAAATGAGAGATGCACTGATGGCTGCTATGAAATCTTGCACAGATCTGAACTGCTGTAGCACAATTTTTGCACAATTTAGATATTTTTCCTCGAACAGCTATAATTATCAGAATCCTTGTTTAAATTTAGCAATTTTTTGAATGACCTAAAATTTTGATGCTGAAAGTAAAAACTAAACACTTCCACATGAAAGATCTGTTATTACCACAAGTGGTGGTGCATTTATGGACCAAAGAAGGGGCAGGACAAAAATCTGATTTTGACTTTCTTAAAGATCGATGACAGATTTACATCTAAAAATAAAACTGAACATAATTTTTTCTTACTTTCTTTATATGACTAAATGTGCTTTCATGTTAAAACTGGATGTGTGTGTGTGAAATAAGAAAGACATGCAGTAAATACATTTTAATGTTTAATTTATAAAGAACTTGCAACACAAGAAAACTAAAGCAACCTTCAGAAAATGTCTGTCTTCATGCTGCAGTGTTGGACGCTTGTGTAAAAGGGGAGGAAAATAAAAGTTAAAAGCAGGTCAACTGCAGCAGTCCAGAAAGTGACAGCGTTAATTAGTAAGGGGTGAAAAGTGTGTGTGTGTGTGTTTGCAGAGGCCGGGGCTGGCTGTAAAGTCATAAAAGCTCATGTTGCTTTTACCCCATCTGACCCCAGCCACTGGCAGAGAGGACTAACCACTGCAGTTGTGCATAAAAGATCTGCACCTGGAGGTAAATTATTTAATGCAAATGCCCATAACAAGCAGTGGCGGCCATTTTGAATAAAAATACTAAAAAGTCAGATCCATGAGGTGGAAGCGTCAGCCTACACAAGGAGAACTAAATGACAGCAAGAGTCATGATGACTCTGTAGCAAGAGGGAGGCTGCGTCAGGGAAATTTTAGAAGTTGCAGTAAAAGAAGAAGAAGCGCTAAATGGAAGCTGTCGAATGCAGGGAGGTTAGAAAGAAGCAGAGACGCGGGGCAGAGAAGACAGGAAGTCGTCGCCCCGTTGCATCATATCTGTGCCTGCTGCGACATAGGTGGCCTTGAGGAGAAGCTACAGATGGTGTCCACAGCAACCAAACAGCCAGCCACAGCTCTGTGACGGCTGGAATCTGCCTGAAACCCAGCAGACAGAGACAGCCAGCAGAAAAAAAATCTCTACATGCCCTGCAGCTATAATTAGTTCAAGTGCATCTGTATCTGAACGCCACCTCAATTTGTCCCATGTCCAAACGGTTTTATGTCACTGATGTTAATTAAAAAGATTATTGTTATTGGAGACAAATTCATCTTTAATACTTCTCATCTCTAACCAGCTTTTATGACTTCGATTCGATGCCAGACTGAATAGGGAATATTATCTCACAATACTGGCAATATTAAAATAAAATTTAGCAAATAAAATGTTCATGAGCTGGCTCGCTGGAAGCCTCAGAGCACAGGGAGAAAAATGGTGATAATAAAATGATGAAGAATCACTAAACAGTGTTGATGCCAAAATGTTATTTTGTTTGCAAAATCTACACATCAAAGTATAAGATACACACTTAGATATTTCCAATATCGGAACAATTAAAATTTTATAGGGAGTCTAAGTCACGCCCATCTACTTCTGGACCACAGGTCCCCGGAAAAATGAGAGAAAGGATGCAAGTCAATGGGGCTATAAACGCTAATCCCGTTTGTTATGTGCCATGGATTTCACATATGATGTCTGCGAATTTTAGAGACTCATTCTGATGCCAAGAAAGCAATAATTTTCAAATGGGGCAAAAGTTATTTTAGGTTTTGTGTAAATGTCCAGGACTACAAATGTGAATCACCAAATTCATGTAATTGAACCAGATGTGGAAAAAAAGTGGGAAAAAATGGCTGTAAGTTCAGCAAATTTCGAAACCTTCCTTCAGGAGGAAAGAACCTCGATAAATCTTGCCATGTGGGAAGTAGCAGCTAAGCTAGGGGAGAGAAGAAGCAGTGATGGTGTCATATACACGCAGTGTGCGATTTGTGAAAGAGGCAGATGGGGGGTGGGGGGGGGGGGTGGGGGGGCTAAACTTTTTCGCTTCATAATGTTGAAAATTACAACATACTTTTGTATGCTGATTGAAGGGTGTTTTGTACATAGTTTTCCCCTTTTGAAACTGACAGAGAAAAAAAACATAAAAAAGGAGTTATGTTGACATCTTTTTTATCTTTGCGCTCATGCAAAAACAACACACAGTGGCCTGCTATGAATATGCAACGTACACTTTTAAGAAGGTTTATGTACAAAATCTCTGATATATAAACACTTTACCATAGAAGACAGGAGGAGGTTTAGAGGGAGGCTTATTGAAGACAAAATTATAGTAATCAAAGCCCATGAGCTCTGGGATGATGGAAAACGTTCCAATTCACCTGTGTTTTTTATTTTTTCACAAATCTGGGGAGATATTTCTTCTTTTATTTATTCTGTGGGCGATGGTGGCACAGGAGTTAATTGCTTGCCCCGTAATCGGACGGTTGCAGGTTCGAGCCCCGCTCAGTCGGTCGCTGTCGTTGTGTCCTTGGGCAAGACACTTAACCCACGTTGCCTGCTGGTGGTGTTCGGAGGGACCAGTGGCACCAGTGCTCGGCAAACTCTCCTCTGTCAGTGCGCCCCAGGGCAGCTGTGGCTACATTGTAGCTCATCCCCACCAGTGTGTGAATGTGTGTGTGAATGGGTGAATGACTGGTTGTGTTGTAAAGCACCTTGGGGGGTTCCAGGGCTCTAGAAGGTGCTATATCAAATACAGGCCATTTACCGTTCTAACTTAACAGAAAGCCCTGGACCCTTCACTCATTAAAATGAAAGGCTTTCAAACATCTGGAGGCCTACGATTATTTTTGTTTCAAGGGGGAATGTGGGGCCCTCTCCACTGCAAAATGACTATTATTGGGGTCATTTAGATTTAAAATTTAGTAGGCACAAATTAAATTAGCCTCTTTCAGCAATGGAAGAGGCCTTTTGCAAACACATCTCCTTTTTCTTAATTTGAGGTCATCTGATGCTGTGTTACTTCTGAGCTGAGCTGATGATACTCAGGTGTTCTTGTGCTATAGCACAACCTGAGCCTCAGGTTGAGAAGC